CATACGAATGTATCATCATAACTCGTAGTTTCCTTTTGCACAATTTAGTGCAATGGGAAAATGCGTAGTTGGAGAAGTACAGCGTATGAAAGGTCGGAAGATCGAATCCAGGAGAAGAACACCGAAAAATTGTTCTAAAAATGTATTTGAATTTTTCATATTTTTTTTAGTTATCCTTTTCCAAAAACCAAGTGTATCCAGTTCTTGGCCTGTTTAACTACCAACTTGTGCACCGACTATTGCAAAATATGTACCATTTTCTTTAAATGTAATTACGCTATTTTTATTTTCGATTCCTGGTGATTCATCATCATGATTTAGTTTAACAACCTGCGGTTTGTTAAGTGAACAAACCGATTTTCTGAGCTTGATAATTGCGCATAGGCGCTTGCGGTAGTGTTTTCTCATTGGCTACTTAAACTGTTGGAAAGTTTTGGATCCTTCTTTCTCTCTTTTACTAACTTGGCTCCTGGATTCCACAGTATAAACGCTTGACTCTTCGTAACAAAATACTTGTCTGCTCAGTTTACTCCCAAAGTCAAAGTTTTAGGCTCAAGTTTTCAATCAATTGCTCAGATCATGACGTTGAATTAGTTCCTTTTACTCCTAATATTTGAAGCAGTTATGTCTCAGAGCGTCGGATGAAAATCAAGCATTATATCATTTATCTTCGCTATCATAAAGATAACGCAAAATGTTTTTTTTCAATATAACTTTAGATAAAGTTATATTGGGCTTAATGAAAACAACCAAGACCAGGCAAGCGTATTCGGAATAAGCACAACAACAGATTTCGGAATTAATTAGTTGTTTTTCGCAGTTAAGTGTCTGCAAGTTAGAATAGGAGACAGTTCGGGAAATGAAAAATGTGTTTCGTTTTATTGCAAAACTTTAGCAAAAGCTTTAGCGCATGAAGTCTTTTGCAACTAAAACGTTTTGTATGTCAGAACTTGCCTATTTTTAGATAATTCAGATATTTACTCTGAATTTTAAAATTTTTCGATTTACTATTCTATTTTTACTATCTATTTTTCATGTCAGTTCACATACAGAAACTTACTAATCAATATTTTGATGATTGATATATGTCAGAGTTGAGGCTGGAATCTAGGGGAATTCTGGATTTGTCTAGGTGAGAATAGAATTATAATTTCAGTTGGTTGAGATTGGAATTCTAATGTCAATTATTTGTGATACGATGGTGCCTAACTAAACTAGTTGAAGTTAGAATTCTAAACTAAATTGGATGAGATCAAAATTTCAATATGAACTGACAAACTGGACTAGGTGAGGTTAGAATTTGAATTCGTGTTGCATTGTTCTCATAAAGTACTGAAATATGTCTGTGCTTATTTTTAAAACAGTACTTATTTTTGCAAACTAAGTGCACCATTCTTCTTTATGGCGTTAATAACTGAATCATTTTGATTTTTGTGGATACGGTGAATACACTTAATAATGAAGATGAGAACAACAGACACCGCTTTAATTATTTTGAGACGTTGCGTACTTTATTCTAAGTACATCATCAGTCAAAATTTAATTAAATATTTATATCAATTAATGATGGTATACTACTAATGGAAATACCTACTTGTAACGCTTGTGTAAAATATTTAATAGCTAAATTATGTTGATTTTGTTTTAAATAACAGTGACCAGTCAAAGAATTAGTCGGCATAATACCAATATGATCGTTAGGATAAATTATTATTATCTTTTTTGATAACGCTAATTGAAAATGTTCACAAGCTTTAGAATAAATACTTTATTTTTGTATTAATGTTACCGATAGTCATGTTTAATTCACGTATTTTCAACTGATTAACTTTTTTTTTCTATCTCATCATTGTATTCTTTCATTCTTTTGTACAACGTAAGGCCTCTAGCATTCGAATAGATATCTTAGATATATGTATATCTCTATTCGAATGATACAGGCCTACAAATTCATCATTTTCTAGAAGTGAGTGAATAAGAAAGAAATGTAGTCTACAAAAAATGAAAGAATAGAATAACGAGATAGAAAAAATCTTTATTCTTACGTTTATAGACTGTGCAAAGTAGGGATTTTTCCAACCTCAAATTCATTTTGACTCCGTAATAATAAGTACACATTTTTGTCGTATTATTACTGATTTATGATTTCTTGTATTAACTAGTCAACAAACCAATTTTCAGTGTATTTATCAGAAAGTTATACTACAGTGGCAAAGGAGTTGTTTACAATTCGTCATCAACAGGCCGAATAGAGACAGACAATGTCATCTACACAATATAGACGTATAGTCAACCAGTGTGATACTGGAAATGCAAACAATGTTGTGTATTTAAATAAAGATACAGATATAACAATCATATGGTTTGATGATAATTTAGACATTGTCATACGCGAACAAATCGAACATTTACATGATAAGATTATCATTTGTTTGACAAATGATCACGTAACGACGTCGATGGACAAAACTAAAAATAATAAAATTATTCTTATTGTTAGTGGTCAATATTCACGTCAAACATTGACACTGTTCCATAATAATCCAAAAATCATTTCATTTTACATATTTTACCTTAATAGAAATTGTACGAAGATTTGTTAGATGTTCAAAAATATCCAAAATTATGGGGTGTTTATGTTCAGTACGAGGAACTATTTAAGGTATTAGAAAACAATTGTGTCGGCTATTAACGCGTTTGCCAACATTTAAATTGTTTGAAAAACCAAATATACCAATCGATAATTCTCAATGTGAGCCGGCTGCGTATTTATGGTATATCCTTAAAGATGCATTGATGGAAATGGAAACAGAAAGGAAAACAGACGCAGCTAAACAAGAAATGGTTAATTATTGTCGCACATATTATCATTCTTGTACTCAATATTTAAGGCAAATAGATGAATTTGAAGAAACCTATACGTCGATCGATGCAGTTAGATGGTATACTAAAAACTGTTTTCTATTTCGACTAGTTAACACAGTATTAAGAAGCGAAGGCATTCATGCAGTTTTTAATTTACGATATTTTATTGTCAACCTTTGTACACAGTTAAAATCATTATTCGACATAAATTTTGAATTGCACCGGGAATGGTGTATTGGTACAATTACGTTCTAGCGGAGTTCAACGCTACCTGATGAAGACATTGAACAACTGAAGCAATTGGTCGGTAAATATGTTTCAACAAATAGATATTTATCAACAAGTCGAATATAGCTGAATGTAGCTGAAATAGTTGGTACAAATGTTATTTTTGAGATGACAATTGATACAACGATGAAAAAAGTGATTTATGCTGATATAAAACATTTTAGTGCTATGCAGGAAGAAGTAAAAATTTTGTTTGATCTTAGTGCATTATTTCAAATTACTGATGTTACATTAGATGGAAATAAATGGATTATATCTTCATAATTTTTTCAAGGAAGGTCATGGAGAGGTGGAAGTGGTCTCATTTTATAGCCCAGACTTTCTTCTACATTAACTATGTTTAGCTCAAAATGACAACTTTTCTGCAAAAAAAGAGGGTGGTTATCCTTAATGGCTGCTGCAAAACAAAACGGAGAATGTAAAAATCGGTTTACCGCTCGATATTTTGTCATACCGCGGTCTATAAAACAACCGTCTCTAAACTACATCTTTTACAGAGAGATACGGTTTAGCGACGGTAGTTTTTTGAACCCCCGCAAACCAGCGGTAATAGAAAAAAAGCGCGATATGGATTATTAAAAGCACACGCTCTATCGATTGTCATGTTTGACTGATGAATAAAGACGAAACGTCTCTAACAGAAAATAGATTTTTCATTATAGTAAGGGTGGTTTAAATCTTATTATCTATTGTGAGAGTATGATAGTTTCCTAACAAGAATTAGGGCACTCAATAGTAAAACGTCGTATAAATGAACAGAAGTTTTATATGCTTTTGTTAAACACCATGTTCTTTTTGATATAAAAATGCGCGTGACATTTCGGCGCAACGACATTTGAGCGCAACGAGAGTTAAAGTTCAAAGGCGCCGGTGCGGGTGAGTATGAGTATCGATGAAGATTAAACAAACAGTGATTACAGTTGGATATGAGTAATATAGAAAAAGCTCTCACATCGTACGAAGTTTTTTTAAAGAAAATTTTATCGTTATGCATCATACTTTAACAAATGCACTCTTACTGAATGCTTTTGTCGTACATGCGCCCAAGTGTCGTTGCTTATACTTTCTCTAAATACCTTATTTTGTTAGTTTCTGTGATAGACTAACACAATAAAAATCATCTGTTTCATAGAGGTCGAGTCCTTTGTGAAAGTATTTTAATTCATCTGGTGATACAATTGAGAGATTATTTTTTGAACTGATCTCATAGAAACACAAATTTGTATTGAGGCCATCTGTTTGTAATAGATCAGCCACGAATACCCATTTTTAACTTAGTTTCGGTACGTCTACTATCTGAAAGAATAACTGAATTTCTTTGACATATACAAGATCATAGACATAAGCGCCTTGCTGTATGTGGATGAAATGATTGTGAATTTATTGAGAACATTGTTGAATTGATTCACTGAACTGGATTAGCTGTTGCCCATATTTTTGTACAAGAATAGTCTTGATCGCAGCAGCTATTTGGTGAATTTCAATCTTTTTGATTCCACTGACCTCATCACACTCATTTAAGAATTGACATTTTGAAAGCATCAAACAGTCGTTGAGCGAGAGTTTTAGACATGTTTTTGAAGTTATATGATCAAAGAGAAATCGTTTAAAATAGAGAATTCGCAAACACATCATATATGCATTACTATCATCAACTGCATACCGAAATAAATTCTCAGGGAATGCGAATTTTATAGAAAATCAAATTTCCCACGTATTTTCTAAAGTATATATAATTTAGCATTCTAAAATTGCAAAGTTGCAAAAGACTTCATGCGCTAAAGTTTTTGCTATAGTTTTGCAATAAAACTAAACACATTTTTCATTTCCCGAACTGTCTCCTATTCTAACTTGCAGACACTTAACTGCGAAAAACAACTAATTAATTCCGAAATCTGTTGTTGTGCTTATTCCGAATACGCTTGCCCGGTCTTGGTTGTTTTCATTAAGCCGCTAACTTTATCTAAAGTTACATTAAAAAAAAATCGACTACACAAAATCAGTCAGACCATTCTTCTTACCTTAGGCGGTAATAAAGCAACGAAGTGGTCTGCAATCCAATAGTCTAGTTTTTGATGTTTCTATTCTGCCAGTGATTCCGTTCGGGTTCACATAATGTATAAGGTGCTCCAAATTCAAAATTATAGCACTATTTTATTTTTGGTTTAATCATACATGATTTGAGAGAGAATTTTACGCTGATCAAGATTATCTGGTTTTTAGCCTTGCCCAGTGCACATTATCAGTGGAAAAAATTCAAAAAACTTGACAAATCTCTTTTTTCGAAAAACCACTAACTTTTTTTAAAAACTAAATAACTTGGTTCGACCTCATTTCGAAGCCGTGAAACTGTATTTTTCTTATTCACCGTTGAAAACTGCATCTAGAAAACTGTATTTCAAGGTTCAACACCAAAAAATATCTGTTGGGCGCGAAACGG